TGCCAGTCCTGTTTAGTATCTTTATCAATGATTTGGACGAGGGTACCCTCAATAAGTTCACTCCACCAAGTTAGGTGGGAGTGTTGATCTGCTGCAGGGTAGGAAGGTTCCGCAGAGGGATCTGGACAGGCTGGACTGATGGACCGAGGCCAATTCTAAGAGGTTCAACAAAGCCAAGTGTCAGGTCCTGCACTTGGGTACACAACAACCCCCTGCAGTGCTACAGGCTTGGGAAAGAGTGGCTGGAAAGCTGTCCAGCAGAAAAGGACCTGGGTGTGCTAGTCAACACCAGCTGAACATGAGCCAGCAGTGTGCCCAGGTGGCCAAGGAGGCCAGTGGCATCCTGGCTTTTATCAGAAATTGCATGGCCAGCAGAACCATGGAAGTGATTGTCCCTCTGTACTCAGCACTGGAGGGGCCACACCTCGAGTGCTGTGTCCAGTTCTGGGCCCCTCACTACAAGAAAGACTGAGGTGCTGGAGCATGTCCAGAGAAGGGCAACAAAGCCTGTGAAGGATCTGGAGTGGCTGAGGGAGCTGCAGTTGTTTAGCTTGGAGAAAAGGAGGCACTGAGGAAACCTTATTGCTCTCTACAGCTACTTGAAAGAGGCTGTAGCGAAGTGGGGTTTGGTCTCTTCTCCTAGGCAACAAGTGATAGGACAAGAGGAAATGGCCTCAGGTTGCAGCAGGGAAGGTTCAGATTGGATATTGGGAAAAATTTCTGCACTGAAAGGGTGGTCAGGCATTGGAACAGGCTCCCCAGGGAAGTGGTGGAATCACCATCCTTGGAAGAGTTCAAAAAACAAGTAGACATGGCACTACACAATATGGTTTAGTGGGCATGGTGGTACTTGGTCAAAGGTTGAACTTGATTATGTTGAAGGTCTTTTCAAACTTTAATGATTTTCTGACTGCTGCTTGGCAAGGCTGAAGAACCTCTCATGCCACTGCTGCACCTCCTCTTCTCCCTCCTTCGCACTCAGCACCCGGTAGGTCTCGTTACTCTTGCATTCAACGCGAGTCACCTGCAAGGAGAACCTGAGTTCATAGGAAGGGTGCCACTGCCCATCCTTTCCACAAGGAATGAGGATCTCCATGGTGGACAGCATTTGGAGGCTGGCATGATGGGGGCACCAGAGGGGAAGGGGGAGAACCAGCTGGAAAGCTGTTTAGCTAATAGCTGAGCTGTGTGTTTCCTAAGATATAGGCTAGTCCTCTGTCCTGCTATGGCGATTCTGGTTTTTGTTACCACCTAGGAAGCAACCAGTAGATGGGAAAGATCCTCCCCTACAGGGATACCCTGATGAGTGGGAGGCTTCCCACAGCTTCTTTTTCTCCATATTATATCTGTCTCTGCTTCCCTTCCCTTACAGTGTCTGTGCAAATCCCACCCACCTATGACACGCCAGTTACGTTTCGGTCACTATTTATCACCCCCCCAAACACATCCAATTCTGTCCTCCTGGAAGGACAAGTAGGGTGCCAGGGAGTTCCACAGGGCCTCAAGGCTGGCTATGGAGGGCTCAGCCATGGAGGAGCAGGCTGTGCAAAAGGCAGTGCAGCTGCTTCTCACCCTCTGGTTGTGGATGCTCTTCTGGAGGCACTGGTGGCTCTTGAACATGCAGTAGCTGGGGTGCTGAACTCCACTGGAGTCACAGATCTGGGGAGATGGGAATGAAGGTCAGAGAAAGAAGAGGAGAAGGAGAGATGGGAACATCTACTGATGGTCACCCACCTTGTTCGGTGTACCTCTGTCTTGGAAGGCAGCGTACTCTGCCTCCAGCCAGAGGATCACACTTGGGTCCTGGCAGCCATGGGTGGCCATCCGGCTGCACCAGTACTCTGACCTCAGCCCTTTGAAAAAATCCATGTCATATTCCTCCAGAGTCTCTGAGAATCTGGTCTGCAAAGGAGCGGGATAAAGTGAGACATGCTTTTTCCTTCCCTTCCCCACCTCCCAGTCCAGGCTCCTTCTCAGAGACCAGCAGGGCATACACCTCACTTGGTACCTGCTTTTCTGAATCCTGGTGCTGGGCTGCGATCTGAGGGTTGATGTAGGTGAAGAAGTCACCTGTGTCACAGTGAACACGGCTCAGGGTTTTGGTGTTCTGACACTGCTCCATCTTCAGCGAGCAGAAAGCACAGTCAGGGCACAGGTCCATGTGATGCCGCCCAAGGTTGTCACACACCTAGGGTGGATGGTCGGGGGGGAAAAGGAGACTAAGAAGCTCCCAAAAGAGGAGACTGAGGAGCTCCCATATCCCTGGCTTGGAGCTTGCCTCCCTGGTCACCCAGGTCAGCTTCTCTTGGGAGGTGACACCTGAAATGACAGGGAGCCCTGCACACCATGGGGGTCAAAGGTGGACATCAAGGTCTTTACCGAGTCTCCGAACCCAAAGACTCTTTTTTCCATCTCCTTCCAGGCCATGGCAAGCATTGACGAGAGACAGTTTCCCTCCAGCACTGCATAGCACAGGACCAGCACTGCCTCGTCATTCTGCAGGGCTAAAAGGCTGACAGAGAAAGGGAAGGATGAAGTCAATACACCTTCAATTAGAAACTGAAAGAGGGGAAAACAACCCCAAAACATAGCAAAAAACCCCCTTCCTGAAGAAACCTTGGACTCCTGGCTAAACTGTATAGAAGAATGGGAGTATCTGCAGAGTTTGTACATGCCTGTGTAACACAGAGGCTACGGTGTGTGTGTGTGTATGTGCATTTGGGACCATGTGAGAGGGACTGGACAAAGCTTCACAGCTTGAAGAACTTTCCCAGGGCTCCTGCAGCAGGTGCTGCCTAGTTTTGTCCATCTGAGGGCAATGAGGAGATGCTTGTTAGAGGTCTGCTGAGTGTTGACTGTGGGGCAGCCCCATTTGGGTCTGGAGGATGTCACTCATTAAGCCTCCCTCCTGCTTGAGCCAATGTATTTGATAGAAAGGGGAAAAATTTTTTAACCATGAATTAACTGCTCATCCAAACTGACATGGGTAGCTAAAAGTAAAAAATTTAAGGACAATGGGATAAGACCAATAAGAATATTAGGAACAGTGGAATTTGTAGGCATGGTACAGAACTGTTACTAGACACGGATGGTTGGCTTCAATCATCAACAGTGATACAGAAGAGGTAAAAATGCTCAATTAGATATTTGCCTCTTGTGCCTGGAAACAAAACCAGTGATAAATAAACAAACTGATCTGACAAAAAGTAAGAGGAGCAGCAACTGCCTATGTTAAAATGCTCTTAAAATCCATGCACAGGCTAACCTGTATGGACAAATTCTCCTGAGAGTATTTGAAACTTCTTGGAGACCTTCAGATTAGCATTAAAAAAATAAAAAAAAAAGGTGGAGAACCTCAAGGAAGGCCATGAAGATGAGATTTCCTAAGGCCTGGAAAACTTTCACCTGGAGCAAGAGGCTAAAAAAGCTTCACTTATCTGAGTGAAGACACTAGGGGGTGGCCACTCAGCCAGCCAGCACTTTTTCAAGGAGGGTACCAGCTGGAAAGCTGTCCTTGTCAACAGATGGAAGAGTAATGACTTTTGGTGATTGGAATTTGGGGCAAGATCCATTCAAACCAGAAATTAACTGCATGTTCCTGACACAGAGGGTATTTAGCTTGGGAGCAGCTGATGGGGTGGTTTCTCCACAGTTCAGAGACTTCAAAAAGATATCCCAAACTCCTCTTAGGAGAAGGGTCTGTAGCTCAGACGCATGATACTGTTTTTTTTCTCCAGGGCTCACCAGACGTGGTTTCATGTCCTGCACCGAGCAGGAAGGCCAAGGTGCATGATCAGAGCAATTGCTAGGCCTGAAGGTTAAAATAGATCACCTTCCTGGAAATTGGAGTTGTGCCATCAGTCTGAGGTTACCAAGAAATACTGTTGCTCTTCCTGTCACATCCTTTTCCTGCTCTATCTCTGCTCATCATCGCTGCTGTGAGGTTTTCTGGCCTAATATTTTCAAATTTATGAGCTGATTTACCACCTCTGAGTGAGTATAACAGCACTGCTGTGAGTCCCCTATGCTTGTTGATATGCTGCTGAGCTGTTTGTGGATGTACAGACATTTCACCCATGCTTCAGGGAAAGGGACAGATCTACCTAAAGTGATTTCTTAATGCAAATCCCACCCCAGCTTAGTATTTATGCATGTTATTGTCCTAACCACTGTCCTGGAAAAAGCCTAACAGGTA